GTCTGAAAGTCTGGGATTTTTAACTTCAATTTAGAAAGTAGATATTTGGTAAAGCAGTGCTATATTCATATTATCTTGATGTGAAATTCAGAAAAGAATATTTTATAATTATTTTCTTATTAAAATGAGCTAAAATTAATGATAACTAGGTCCAAGACGACATCAGACCACAACCATTAGAGTAAATAAAGATGGGTCACTTATTCTTAGGCAAACTAGGAGGAGAAAATGAATACCCCTGTAAAAGCTGTCTCTGTACCTGTTATGGTTCTAATAATAGTAGCAGCAATCACTTACTGAGAACTTCTAAGTACCAGGGACTAAACTAAGACCCTGCTTGATTTAATTTTCTCATTTAATCATTTCAAGAATCTTTGAAGAGTATGTGTTATTATCCCAGTTTGCATATGAGGAAATTGGGGCTCAAATGGATTCAGTAATTTTTCTAGTAAATGTAAAAGTGAGGACTCAAAACCTTTGCACCATTAGAAAATAGTCAGTATACTTTAAACGAATGATCAAATATGTGGTGGAGGAACTGGTAGAGTATGCAAGGGGAAAAGAAATGCAGAGAAGTGCAAAGAAAGAACTGATATTCCTGGGCATGTCACTGGGGGCAGGAACCCCTGACATTGGGAGTAATGGTATCAGAAGGTTACCCAGAAAGTATTTTGTTTGGGGACAACTTAAGTAATATATATTACATTATTCATTTATTGACAATGCTACCGGAAAGATGGTGGGTCAGGTGGGACTGGTCGCACCTCTCCAGAATTTGAATTTACTACTTACCAGCTGTGTGAAATTGGGTAAGTTATTTAATCTTTCTAAGCCTTGGTCTCCTACCACAAAATGGAAATAAAGACTCCAACCCATAAATATTTGTTGTGAGAACTGAGTAAGATTTTTTTTTTCCTTTTTGTCTTTTTCTACTGACCGGTAACGGGATCGCAACCCTTGGTGTCGCGCCCATACCGGGGACCAGCAACGGGATCGCAACCCTCAGTGTTGCACCCGCACCGCACTCAGCCAGTGAGCGGGAACCGGTCTCCACATGGGATCCGAACCCTCGGCGAGAGCGCCGCTGTGCTCCCAAGTGGCGCACTCTCCAGTGCGCCACCAGGCCGGCCCCTGAGTAAGATTTTTAAAGCATCAGCACTATGCCTGGAACATATTTAGGAATTAAATAAATGTTAGTTCCCTCATCTCTTTTGTCTAAATAAATATTACTGAACTTTTCACATGTTAAACAGATTATTACTAACTTTTCCAGCTTTTCAGATTATTGGGTTCCTTGATTCTGTTATTTTTCTGGTTTGCAAATACATTTTCAAACCCAGAATGTTCTGGATGTATGATAAATGTTGGTGGAATATTAGAAAGAACATGGGCATAGGAATCAGAAGACATGGACCTGAGTTCTGACTCTACCACTTATCTTTTGAATAATATTGTACAGGTTAACTAATCAATGGTCTGTCTAATTCCTCTTCTTTGTAGGTAGATTAACCATAATCCTTGGCTCTATATGTAGTCTTAAAGAGACTTTTTACCAGTTTTATTTTTAATTTCATAAAAATGAATATACTATGTATAATCTTTTTCACTTATATTACTATTTCATGCATACTGTTGAATGTACTGAAGTTCACTTGCTTAGGATGCTATGTAATACTCCACTAGAATATACTATGTATAATCTTTTTCACTTATATTACTAGTTCATGCATACTGTTGAATGTACTGAAGTTCACTTGCTTAGGATGCTATGTAATACTCCACTGTGTAAATATACCACAATTTATTCTTTTGCCCTTCCACTGATGACCATTTAGGTTGTTTCTGGATTTTCACTACTCTAACAGTGCTGTTATAAATATTATGTTGGTCCTTCTTTGAACATTGCCTTTCCCCATTCTCTCTACTATCTTCTTCTAGAACTCTGATTAGAAATATGTTAGACCTCATCTAACTCAATCTATGATTTCAATATTTTTCTTTTGAGGTTTTATTCTGGCCTGGGCTTTCTTTTGGTCAGTGCATTCATATCACTACAGATTTTCCAGTTCACTAATTCTTCATTCAGCTACATCTATTCTGCTTCATTGAATCTTTTGATTGAATTTTTCATTTCAATATGTGTATTTTATTTCTAGAAGTTACTCCCCTTCCAATCTTCTTCATATTTCTCACTCATACTTACTTCTAAACATATAAAACATTTTAATTTTATTTCTGTACTTAATAAATACAATATCTTATCTTAACAGATCTGATTTCACAGTCTATTGTTTCTCCTGTTCTCAGTAGTGGCTTGTTTCTTAATGTCCTCCTTTCTTTTGTTCCTTGTGAACTATTTATTTTCCTTGGAACTTTGTCTGGGGGAATTAAGGCCTGGGGAAAACTTGGCATGTTTCCAGAGAGGATTTATGTTTGCTTCTGCTAGTTTCTGTAGTGGTGCTACTAACCCAGAAGAATTAAATTTTGTACTTGAGGTTTTCCATAACACACATGTAGTATGAATTAAGACCTTACACTCAAATGAGGACAGATTTGTGGTTATATAGTTTAAAGGCAGATTACCACCATCACTCCCCTTCCATTTAATGACAAGGTCAATACAAGATTATGTCCTTGCATCCTTCTAGACATTGGGTTAATTTCTAGTATATTCTTAGACATGGATACAGTTTTTTTCTAGTACCAGTCTTTTGTGACAAGACTTTTTCCTATTAGACTCCTTAGAACTAGAAGTGTCCTAAGCTTTACACCTATTTCCCAGGCCTTCTTCAGCCACTATGATGAAGATCTCCAGAGTTTTGCTGAAATCCTCAGGATAAAAACCAGTCCTGGATATTGCTCAACTCCCAGGTTTCCTGATTTCACTTCGCTTTCTGGCCTCTGTGGATTTTTTCCTTTGAACCCATTTTGGCAATGCATTTAAAAACAAATTTTATATATTTTGTTCAGAATTCTAACTATAATTGTGTGTGGGTGTCCATCAGGGTGTCTGGTCTGTCATTCTTTTGAAAATAGAAGTCTATCTGTCTCCATTTCAACACTTATTTATATAAGATCAACAGCATCTTACTCTTTAGTCCTACATCCTAATGTATTTACTCACTCTTAGTATAATGCTCTTACCAAAATGTAAAGATGATCTCATGTTTAAATTTCAATGACTCCATAGTGCTCTTAGAATAAAGTCCTCCTGCTGAGCAAGATTTTTTCTCTGTCTACCTCCTCCTCCCCTCAGCCTCCTCTGCACATCTTCATACACTCTTCATGCAGCCCCAGCCATCTACCTTCAGTTCTCCCAATGCACTCTCATTTCTCTGCATTTTACTTACACTCTTCCTCTACCTGGGGTCAATTCCCCTTTCCCAGTCTTCTTCCAGCTTCTTACTTGTATCCTTCAAAAGTCATCTTAAATGTCACTGCCTCTTCAAAGCATTTTCTGATCCATCTTTGCTTGTCAGAAAAACATAATTAGGTACCTCTCATCTCTACTTCCTAACATAACTATCATAGCAATTATCATGCAAGGTTATGTGAAATGACTTTCTTATAAGTCTCCCCTACTAGACTGAGTGCTGTTTGAGAACAGAGACTATATGTCCAGAATTAAACACAGTGATGGACCCAAGGAAGGTGCTAACTAAATGTCTGCATAATGAATAAATGAATGAAGTGGCACAACTACACTTAAGAGTTTGGCAAATTTAATGAAGAAGACTTATTCTCATGGTTAACAGTGTGTGTGTGTGTGTGTGTGTGTGTGTGTGTGTGTTAGATTATCTGCTCCTTAAAATTATGCACAACTTTCTGACTTCCCATCAATAAAGAATGCTGAGAGCTAAATTTCTATTCACTCTGTCTATAGATTTTGAAATGCTTGACTTATTACCATACCACCCCAAATGCCTTTGGAACCAAATTAACAGGGAGAAAAGTGGGTGGTTCACTTAGGAAGCCCTTAATTCACGGTTGTCGTCTGTTTCCTCCAGGTTTTCAAATTTGTTGGCATATAGTTGTTTATAATACTCTCTAATGATTCTTTGTGTTTCTGTGGTATCGGTTATAATGTCTCCTTTTCCACTTATAATTTTTGTTATTTGGGTCTTCTCTCTTCCTCGTTTTATTGTTTATCTTCTTTAAAATCCAACTTTTTGTTTCATCAATCTTTTATATCATTTTGGGGGTTTCTATTTCATTTAGTTCTGCTCTGATCTTAATTACGTCTTTCCATCTACTAATTTTGGGATTGGATTGTTCTTGTTTTTCTAATTCTTTGAGGTGTAGCGTTAGGTTGTTTATTTGAAATCTTTCTATTTTGCACAGTTGTCTTCTAATATTATCTTTTCTAACATAACCAATTTCCCTTTCTGAAGGAATCTCGAATAAGAAAGCAAGGTACACCTGAAAAAATATGTTTTGAGGAATAAACATTTTTAAATGTGATAAAACTAAAGCTTTCTGTTTAATTTTTTTCTATGCAATGGAGAGATTATTAATTGTTAGGGTCTCAGGCTAATGTCTCTGAATCTTCTAAAAAGGCAATTATTCCCTCTCTGAATACCATTATGTCTTCTTTTCCAAGCTAAATTTTAAAAGGATGCCAGTTTAGCAAAAATTCTAAGCACATCTGATTTGGACATGAGACCCTACACATTAATTATCAACAGGCAATAGAATAAAAACCTTTATAAGGCTATAAAATATGAAGTATTCTGAACGCTTTTGGTATGAGTGTACTTAGTGGAGTATAATTAAAATAACTCCAGTGTCTTTAGAAGGGTGTATTTTGTGATATGTTCACATGTAGCCTTTTGGGAGCACATGTACATATATATGCATATGTGGGCAACAGAACTTAGTATTCTGATGGCGATTTTTCTCAAAATTTAAACCATCAGCCATTAATATTTTGAAGTAATTCCTAGTTTATTTCCAGTTTGAAATAGACTCGTCATAAAAACACTGTGAGAAAGAAAACAAACTGCATAGATTCCATTTGGCAAATCAGGGGCCTCTAGATCTGACTGTGGTTCAGCCTCTGGCGCCATCAGTTGGGCTCCAAATCAAAAGCTGTGGAAGGAGGTAATTAGCAGGAACTCTAGACCACTCAGTTGGCAACAGCAGCCTTCTTATAGCCACTGGGAAAGTGGGTGGAAAGGGGTTCAGAAATATTCTCTAAAACAACATTTCTCCTTCAGATTGGATGATTGTAATTATATGGCCATTTTCGTGGAGAAAAAGCTAACTGATTAACATTCATATTGATACATTTGTTAAGGTGTCAGTATTTAATTAGGTAGTTTAGCCACCAGCAAGGACAATCATTACAGCTTATTGTTCAATAAAAAAAAAAGAGAGTAAAAGACAACACTTCTAACCCACTGACAACCGTAAAAGGTTAACATAACCTGGGCACAGCAACCACCGATAATTCTTGGCAAAAAAGGGCACAATTCCCCATCTCATTAATTCCAGCAGAAATTAAACCAAGGAGGGGCATTTTGCCAAAGCAATGAAATTATAATTACGTAGGTCATGTTCAGAGGATGGAGTCTTCTGAGTCTTGCCTGGTCAGGCTGTTGATTTCTTAAACTTGAGCATTAAATGGAAAGAAATTGGCTACATTCAAGCCACTCAATTTGGCTATAGTCATGATCATTTACAGATGAAGGCAAAGCAGCCCCAAAGTGAGCAGAAGATGAGAAGACTGTGTTCCAAATTGACCAGCTGAAGGAAAGTTTATATTTTAAAAAAACAATTACTTGGTCAGTGACTCACGGGGAAAGAATTCTTAAGCTTTCTTCAGGGAAACCCCAGTAAATAACACGTATAATAAAATGGAGATGGTGTTGTCTGTTTTGTTGGGCCGATCAGTCCACATAATAAACCTTTTGGCAAAAAAAGGAACTTTCTGAACACGATTATTCTCTCTGGGAAATCCCCAAACAGCAAGAACTACTGTGGCTTCCTTACAATTTTACAGAATATTTTGTATCTCAGACTTGCATGTGAAATAAAAACTTGGAAAAAATATGGAAAAAAATCTGCTTTCTGTTACAGGGTTGAGAATTTTTCAGTTGGTTGCTTCCATGATTCACACTGCACTCTGCTCCTCTGAAACTCGAAACCACGTATCATAAAAAGCAACACTGGCTCAAGTTAATTCTTCCTGCTGTGTCCCTAGGAGAACCAACTGCTCTAAGTGTGCCCCACATGACACACAAGAGATATGAATGAAAAGTTCTCTGCCTGCACTGATTTACTGGAATATGGTGTAAATCATATACTTTAAGAGAGATCTGGAGTTCTACAGTTTTTCTAAAATGTGTTTAACTGACATAATCTATAACAGTTTCAGTTCCTCTCTTTTTAATTAGCAAAAGCTTTTGGAATGTTGTTGTTTTTGGTTTAAGAACATTGTGCAAGAAAAAAATGTTGAGCAAAATAAAATGTGCTCTAAATGATTAAAGAAAGCCCTGTTGGTTGGGGATAGAAATAGTCAAAGTTTCTCTATCCACCAGCCCCCTGTCCAGAATGCTTTGTTCAAGCCACACAGTGTCTAATCAGCACGTCTTTAGATTATTTTATGTTAATTAAAATTATGGTTAGTCTCAGAGGTTAATGTATACATGTGCATGTGGCTTCAAAGCCTTCCCAAATTACTGGCAAAGCTCCCTTGCCTTGGGCAGGCCTGATCTGTGATAAAACTGACCACATTAAACCAAGTTTATTGCTGTGGAGTTTTTTTTTAACTCAATGGACAAAATACATTTTGCAGGTTTCTTTAAGAAGAACTTCCCATCTTAAAACACTGTCTCTGGATTCAAAAAAAAGAAAGAAAAAGAAATGTAAAAGGAAAGGAACAAAGGAACTGGCTCATATCAGAAAAAACAGCTTTATGGATTACCGAGAGGCAATGAACAAGGCACAGAACAAGACTGTGATAGATCGCTCCCACAACACGCTTGCTTTTTTCTTTTCTTTTTTAACTACAGAACTGTATCAATGCATTATTTTAGTGAGAGAAAATATTACTCAAAAAATCAATGAAAAGTGGTTAATAAAATTTATTCTAATATATTCTTCATTTTGTGTCATGCAGATTGTAAAGGTCATGCTAAGTGCTCCTCGTTTGTCCGTGGCTAGAATCAGGAAAAGCTCCTGAGAATGGTCAGCATAACCTTGATGGTTAGAGCAGCAGAGCAGCCCTGCAGCAGCTGGGCAGGGGCGCAGTCTGGGAGACAGGAACAAACAGAAGTCAGGACCAGCAATGAGGACAGAGCGGTGCTTCTGCTATGGAGGAGAGGCTATCAACACACAATTTATAACACAAGGGAATGTGTCAACCTACATATGATTCTGATCACATACTAAATTCCCAAAAAGAATCTAACCTAAAAGATTGGGAAGAGGCACATTTTTTTGTTTCCATTATCATCTGTTCCTTAAAATCCTCCTTGGTTCAGGTCCTCACCACCTTTCTCCTTCACTACTACAAGAAATCTCCTGGCTCTCATTAAATTTATTCTTCATACAGTTGCTAGACTGAACAATCTAAAACACTACTCTGTCCTTTCATAACTTCTTTACTTCTCTTTTTTAAAAAAAAAAAAAAGTTTTGAGTTTAACCCTCTTGTGAAAAATCTGCACAATCCTGGAGAAAAAGTCATTGGGGAATCTTTACTCCTGTTGCTGCCAGCATCAACACTGCAGTCCCCCTAACTTTCTTCATTCTGTTCTTGTGTTCCTTTTGCTGTTTCTTAGAGGTCTTTTTCTTCTCATAATGGCCATATCTTGCAAGTCTATGTTTGGGTTCATTTTTCTTTGCACAATCCTAGGAATCATAAATCATGCCAAAGCCAGTTGTCTTGTCACCACCAAAATGGGTTCTGAATCCAAATACAAAGATAACATCCAGTGTGGTCTTATACATTTTTTCCGAATTTCTGTCTTGTACTATTGCCTTCCCAGGGTGAAGGACATCTACGACCATTTGTTTCCCCTGAGGTAGTCAATTGTTCATGAACTCCTTGGACCAGACAGTTACTGGGTCATTCATGATGGTGGTTGATCGTCTGGCAGCCAGGGAGAAAAAGAGCCTTTCATAGCTTCTTGATGGCACAGGATGAAGTATACTATCTTTGGTAACCTGATCCTCTGCCTCTTGTCCAGACATATGTCCCACCACACCTGATCTAAACAAGTGAGGTGTCAACCATTAGGATGCCTTTCCCACCCATCCCCCAACCTACCAGGAGCTCTTCCTTTATGAACCATTGAACCCTGAATGAATCTTTTATCACCCTCTTTTGTAAGTTTCTGTTTGATAGTGAGCTCCTTAAGAATAGAAGTCATGACTGACATACTCATCTTTGTATTCTTAGCACCTCCTTTATGAACCATTGAACCCTGAATGAATCTTTTATCACCCTCTTTTGTAAGTTTCTGTTGGATAGTGAGCTCCTTAAGAATAGAAGTCATGACTGACATACTCATCTTTGTATTCTTAGCACCCAGCATATGTTCAATAAAAACTTGTTGAACTGAGCTGATGTGAGGTAAGAGAAGCAATAAATGACATCGGCCTCCAACAGGCAGGATACACAGGAATGATGTGTGAAAGAAGGCTGGCTTCCAGGTTGCCTTCACCTATCAGAGATGGGGAGGTTATGGGGAAAATCTAGGCAGGTTACACTGATCCCCCAATTGGGGGTAGAGTCAGGAATCTGTTGCCCTAAAATACGGCTGAACACCAAGTGCATATATGTAAAAGAGTATGTATATAAAAGTGTATATATATAAAACACCTCTGGGTGTTTTGGCCCATAAGCATAGCATGACAAAATCTATTTCCATCTGCACTGTTCTGATGAAGTAGATATCCTGCCAGGCCAGGATTCCATTAGTTCCTGAGCAAGAGACCGACTTGTCCAGTGCTGATAACAAAGTGGGGGGTGAAGGCAAGGGTGACTGACAGAGATGAAGTTGCTAAGGCAATATGAACTAATGTCAATGTTCTAGAAACAGAATGGTGGGAAAACAGGCAGAAATAGATAAAACGATTTGGATAAAAATTTTCAAGAACAGCGTCTGAAGATGTCCCCTTCCCTCAAGTGCAGCAAGTGTAAACTTTAAATACCATAAGAAGTCAGGAAGGAAATTTAGTTAGAAGTAGACTCTAAAATAATTCCAAGAATGGAAAAGTCTTTTACATGTTGAAAAGGAATAACTCAACATACCAAAATATGACCAAATATTTCACAACCAGAGGTTCTCCTCAACTCTCCTTCAAAAACCAACCGAACTTTATTTTCTATCTGGAAAAACAAGTGCCAATGAACATCATGGTCAAACTTGGCAGGGTACAAAGTATGGAAATCACCAATGAAAGAAAATGTGACTATACCTCTTAACAAGTTAATATTATTTAGCAGAATAATTCTAAAAAGAAAGAAGGTTAAAAGAAAGCAAACTAAAACTATATAACTGCACAAATGAACTTTCTACTATTTACATGTGTCAAGTTCAGATTCACTTTCATTCTAGAATTAAAATCATAATGAAGTACTAGGTATACACTAGGTTCATCTGAAAAACTCTCCCTGAAAGTTTTCAGAACTCCTTAGCACAGAAATACAAAGAGATATGGTAATGACTTCCCTGAACAAACAAATATACGGAAAAGAGTGAGTTGGTATGAGCTCTCAGGACATACCCGGTGGCCTGTGGCTGCTCTAATCCTGTGCCATGAAGAAATGTATTAGGCCTCTCTAGATCATCCTTCCAGCCTGGGGACTGCCACAGTCACTTTCAGTAAGGAAACTGAATGATCCCCCACCATCAGCGTCAGGGCTGTGAACAGAATCCATTCACAGGCTCCCAAGCTACTGACAAAATGATTTGCTATTGCTCTCAGCTGACAGGGGCCTGTTAGGGATGTGATTAAAAAGCTGAGTTTCTGGTAAAGCTGGACATAGGGCATGATTCTTACCATTACATCGATCTGCCTCACAGTAAAATCAAAGGTTATTGGATTATGTAACTTACA